TGCGGGCTCCGCAGCCCGCGCCTCCCGCACCCGGGGCTCCCACGCTGGGCAGCTCCCCCTTTCCCCTCCCCAGCGTGGAGGAATTTTCCCGTTCCGCGCTCCTGCTGCTTCGGGGCCAACTCTCCTTTGCTCTCCGTTTCTCCTGCTTACATGGTAATGTGGCTCAGGGCACCTCTTTTTCTTTCTGTTTTAGGTTTATGCTGCTATAAAGGGCAATTAAAAAACGTGACTCCAAAGAATGAAATCAGAAGAGCAAAAGCAGCGCTCAAAATAAAAGGTGACATTTCACATAGACTCTCCAAAATCACCCTAACTGTGTGGTTTCCCTATGTTTGGGGCCTCGTGTTGTGGTTGTTTTTAATAGATATGAATAGGTAGTATTAGATTTCTTTGTTCTCTTAAACCTACTTGCTATCATGCTTTAAAAGTTGAAAAGCTTTAAAGCCCGATTGAAGTCCTGTTCCTCCCTCTTCTTGTTCATTTTCTAAATTTAATCTGCAAACATTATTTTCATCATGTCTGCTATGTAATGTTTTGGTTTTTGGGTGACTCCTCATTTCAGGGATGTCATTTAGAATGACTTCACTCTGCATAGCTAAAAGCTTCTTTTCCTAAAGCCTTTTCACTGGCTTATGGGTGCGACACATGACTTGTAGTAGCTACTTGGATTCTAACATCATTATTGGGGTAGGTCAGGGTAATTACATTGTGTTGGTTTAGGTAGATCTAACTTCTGCATGTGTCAGGCTTTCTGCATTGTGTTGCAACTGAGTTGCAAAAATTGAAACTCATTTAGTTGGGTGTTTTTTTGCTTACAAGTGCTAGCTTTTTGTGTTGAAATTGGAAGAAGATAATACCGTTAGATAGGGGAAAAATACAAAATGTGGCATCAAAAATTGAATGCTGCTGTTAAAAGAAGAAAGCTTTCAGGGGAAGAAAATTTCTTAGGGTGAGCTGCGTGTCCTGTGTGGTGGGAAGATGAAGAGATGGGCTTTAGAAAGAGAGTGAGCAGGAAGGGGAGGAAAAAAGATGTCTATCAACCTTTTTCCACATCCTATTTTCAGTACGCTGTCAGTAATGGAGTTCCTGCTCATTCTTTCCATGTGAAGTCTGTACTGAACCCATCCATTTCAAATGTAGATGAGCCTGTGTTATTTGGCAACTATATCCTCTATACATCCTGCTCGTCTTTGTCCCGTTTTCAGAGATGCCATTGACTGTAGCATAACATGTTTTATTGTCAGCCATACTATACCTTTTTAGCATTAGTTGCCGGGGAAGAGCAATACCTGTTGCCAATAACCTTGTTCAAGGATGAATTATTTTTCTAAAACAGGTATCTTTAAGGTCTAATGAAGAATAGCTGTAAAACTTCAAAGACTAAAAAGAACAATCCTAGTAACATAAGTGCAACAAACTTTGAGATGTGTTTTAAAGATACAGTGAAGAAATATTCCAATTATTTTGATAGTCTACTATTAAAACACCTTTACACTGGAATAAGTGAAAGGGGCCAGTGTAATTACCTGCTATATTGTTTCCAAAAATCCCCCTTGCAAGTTGAATGTGCATTAGTACAAACTTGTCAATGCAATTATGCCACACCTATTTTTTGTGAAGTTGCTTTATTATAACACCTATTTTAAAGCTAAAGCATTGGAGCTAACATAGGGCTGTGCATTTATGTAGCATAATAAACAGGACACCCCTGATGCTGCTAAGTCCTTGGATGTTTTGGATTTTTTCATAGAATGAATTTCAAATGTTCTTCTGATCTGTGAAGCCCCTTAATGTGAAATGCCCTTTAATGTGAAATGTCAATGCAGTGAAATTTGGTCCAGATACAGAGACTAAAACTGAGTTTGCAGAAATGGGGCATTTAACTTCTGGCAGAAGCTAATATATGGTCAAAACCGAGAAACAAAGGTAAATAATGCGCTGAAGGCCTGTGATCTGGAGGAAATGCAGCAGCACGTTGCAAGTGTAGCTCTCCCCTTAGATAAAGTTGCAAATCCAGACTTTTTTATCTTCAGTCTATATGTTCTTTTTTTTTTTTTCTTAGAAAATGTGCTGAGAGACTATTTCCTGTTGTTCCAGGATTTACTTAGAATGATACTATCGGAGTGAAAAACAGTTGTTTTCTCCACTGAACTTATCTATTGAATATTATACTCTCAGACTCTTAATGAGTATTTAAAAAAAAATAAAATATTTTGAAGACTGTTGAATGAAATGAGCTTTATAAACTGCACTCACTATTCAGTCCTAATATTCATAACACAACTGACGAAGTGATTGCTTAAGTAATTTTTGAACTAGCCTTTTTTTTTCTGTTTAATGAAGTGTTGGTTCTTGTGTGCTTTAGTGGTAGCAAGTCATGTTAAATCATATAGATGTTATATACTAGCACTTGCTCTGAGATGTTGCTTACTTTTTAAGGCAAATTTTTCATCTTGCACTGCATCATTCTTTGGAACTTAATAACAGCACCAATGTAACTTAAAAGAGAGATTATCTTACGTTGTACT